AAAATCATTAACAACATACACACACACACACAAAAAAGAATGACAACTTGACACAAAATTGAATATGCTTCTCTTCAGTTATGAGTTCTATTAATAATAGCAAACAAGGACTTAAAAAAGATAGGTCTATCAGAAGTGTATTTTACAATTTACTGTTAATTTAATGAAGGACTAGATCTTTTCACAACAGGCTTTCATCATAAAGTGTACACATATAAATATATATAGAATAAAATACCAAATGCTTACATAAACAGTCATAATAATTTGTAGGTCTTACTAAATGTAAAACATTTACAGATGGGAAATACACAACTACTTATATAAGCAATACTAACAGCTCAAAAATGTAATACTATTTGTTTATAAGTGAAGGGAAGATATTCATAAGACTTGCATTTAATATTTCTAAATAAATCTACAAAAAAAGAATTGAAAAAAATATGTGGCACAATTTCTAAAGTAATCATCCCAAATGAGCAGGTTACTGTTTTTTATTCATTGCTTTCACTTAATTAAAGCAACATGAATTTTCAGACACTGAGAGTTGGAGAATAGACTAGAATACTTCAGATCTATCTTAAGGAAGAGAATCAGGAATATTTACTTATTCAATAAATCTAACATTTACATGGAATAAAATATTTTATTAAAATATATCCTTAGACAAAGCCTTCAATGTTAGTATCCTAATACAAGTCAGAATCAAAGGAATGCAATAGTCATTTTTTTACTGGAAATAACCACATCATTAGTAAAACAAAACATACTGGCAACATGCAGATGATCATGAAAGATTCTGTAAGTAATCATTTATCCATCATTTTCAAACATCTTTCTGTAAAATTATATCTTTCTTATATTATGTTTATTAATCTTTATGATGTCTTAGGGAGATGCAACCTGCATCACCTTTTCTCAACTGAAGAAACAACACATTACATTAAACCTCATTTATGTTTCAGAGAATACATTTCCAACTTTCTAATATTAGTCTCTGACCAAGCCAACACCAACTGGAAACTTGAAAAAAAATATATAATTTAATTCAATTAAAAAAATAATAGTATATCTTTTTATTTAAATAAACATTTAAAAATATAAAAATGCTAGGAATATTTCTTCTTTACATCAACCCATTTCAGGTGGAATGCCTTAAACTAAAACCTTTGAGAGATGTACTGTGACGTAAGCTGTAATTAAAAGTATTTTAGAATCCTGAAAACCTAAAGGAAGATAAATTACATTAACAGCAACACATTTCCTTCCAGAATTTCAACTAATGCAGTCACGTGTCTTCACTTTTATTCTCATGGATACTAAAAGTATTGCACATTAACTTTGTGAAAGTCAGTCAGTTAGTCAAACAAATTAGCAGGAGACATCCTAAAATATTAAAGTCAACACACAACAGAAAACGTTATCAACCTATGACACAAATCATGCTACCATGACAGAAACCTCTATACTCTAGACACTTAGTTTATTAAGAACATACTCCTGATAATCAGATACTGTGTATTTATTACTGTTATTTTTCTTTCATTTGCTACAAGAGCTAAACAGCCAATTAGGAAAACCCTTAGGTTCAGGCATAGTCATTTCTAATTTAGAAGGGACGAACAGAGAGAAGGCAAACAGTCTATAACTATCACATTGCTCTTAACTAAATTGACTGATACAGTTATAACACACCACTCAGCTGAAGATGCAAGGCATACAAAGCAGCATATTGTGGTTCAAATCTTGGACCTTTAGGTTAGCAGCCTAGTATGCTAACCTCCAGACCATACCCAGCCTATTTATTACTGCTGAAATGGCTTGTGGATGTAAAATCAAACTTTTCATTTCCTGTCACTATCAGCTCAGAATTAAAACAGAAGTTTAAGGTATATCCTCTGTTAAAAACATTTTCATTTAGGCTAGACCAACTTTAATTCTTGTTCAATAAAATTCATATTCCTATTTTTTGTGGTAGCTTGGATTATTGTTGTTTTTCTAATTGCTTAGAGAAATAGGATTTGAAGACATTAAATGGATGTAAAAACAAAATTTCAGTCACAGTTATTTAACCACAGAAAATACTGTGTAACATTCACAAAATGACAGTGGGAGGAACTGAAAAACAAAGAAGTCAGATCTATATTTATTAAAACCACTTCAATCTTAACCTTATTCTTTGGTTTGTTTGTTTTACAATTTCATCCAAATCTATAGAAAGGATGTCCATGTATGACAGTCCTTAATTTTGGACTGGCAAATTACGAGGAAGGCAGCTAGTCAACAGTACCCATTGCTAACTCTTATATTATTGAATAGTGGGATTTGACACTCACTCTTATAATGCATGCACAGTCTCAAAGAGTAAGTAAATTTTTGCAACAATGTACCATGTAGCTTTGGATTCACATTCCTGGTGCACTAATCACTAGGCCATGCCTGGTCCCCTTATTTTTTGGTCAATGTTGGTTCATCTAATGATTTAAAGCATACTCATTCATGGTTAGAAGCTTTAGAAGAAAAAAAAATTGTTGTATTAATGAATAAGTCTCATTCTCATTGCAGACATTGCAGTGTTCCATTCCAGAAATTTTAGATATATTTCAACTACCATTGAAAATTTTCAAGTTAAAAACAATTATAAAATTGCAATCATAATCAGCTATATATGATGTTTTGTTCTCTATATTCAATTGTTTACTTTCTTTACAAGATTTTGCTACAGTGAATTTGTAAAAATTATTTTTCACTTGATCAATCTGATAAAAATGAAAATTACATCAATTGATCTTTTCATAATTGCCTGAAAAAATCACATTATCATGTATTTAAAAAAAAAATTGTTTAATACGTTTTTTTTTATAAAATGAACTGGATACTAGAAAACTGTTCATACAGAAATTGGCTTTCCATCATATGCCATCAGCAACAAAAAGCAGAAACAATCAATAAACCAAAGGTTTTGTATTAATGAAAAAATAATCATAACTTAGCAGTACAAATGAAAATCGTATTCTTGTTAACTCAAGCTCAAGCCCATACTTCCTACAATCAAATGTTCCTGTAACATCTGTTATTTCATAAACAATAAAAAGCAGTTTAGGAATATCCATAGAACAAAATTATATTAATAACATGCCTGTACTAACCTTATTAACTATTACTTAAATGTGTTTAGTTTATTACTAGGCTATGCTTTATGTAAATGTAATCTAAACAACATCACCACTAACATTTGTAGATTACAGCTGCAGTTCATAAAACAAATTTCCTTTAAAAAACATAGGCATCATCTAATATGTAAAAATGCATAATTTACAGCATTAACATCATTAATGATAAAACATTAAGAAAACTATTGCAGGGACATTCATGAATATATACAAAATTATGTGCAGCTACTCAAATTTTACATACATATACATCATGAGAACAATAACACGGCGGACCAACTCTTGACTTTAACTGTCACTCAACTGAATATTTCTATGAGAATAATCTTCTCAGGCTCCTTATTCAAAATGTTGCCTGAAAAAACAAAAATTTTCACATTTGAGCATCACTGCATACTAATGCCCTGATTTGACCATTTAACATCAATAATTCATTCACGCTTTATTGTAGATAATGCATAATTAGAAATATTATTAGGCTATCTGGATAATTTTTTTTTCGATAAAAGCATGCAACCATGTAACTATTATTATTTTTTCCCCCTGTTTGGACTTCTTTATATAGATTTAAGAATCAGTGAAGTAAAGTATCATTATACATAAATACTGCCACATAGTTTTAATGCATTTTGTTTGTTCTTTATCAAGCAATCAACAAATACTTTTATCCAAATAGAAAATATACTGTAATGTTGAAGACATTTCAACAAACACAGCACTTATATTCTAAGTTGGTAAATCACGTTGCTACCCAATGTTCATAAGCCTTTAAAAATGGTTATACTCTACACGACATATTTAGCTGTATTGTAATCACACCAGTTTGAGCACATCCACATTTGTGTTACATTAATATAGCATTAAAAATATGAATTTTTCTTCAAGTTGAGCAAATCAAAAACTTGCATGCAGCAGTTTAAATTACACATGGCACTTCTGAGAACCTAATAATTTATTTTGTTTTGCCTTATATTTCAATTCCATACTCTTGATTTTAACTTTGAAGTAAATTTTGAATGTAATAACTAAAACATGAGTGTTTTAATTTACTTCAAACTTAAAGTACTGTAAAAGAGTACAAGCTTTCTCCTATTTCACATACCAATTTATTCTTTTGTCTATTTTTAGATACAATCTTTAACATTCACACACAAACACACTTTCAAAACCTCAACAGTGTACCAGTGTCTTTTTAATGTTAATCAGGTTGAGAATATAATTTTGTAGTTTTTTCATACAAAAAAATTGAAAAAAGAAACTTAAACAATTCTCAAATATTTTTTATCCATTCTAATTTTTACATTCTGATACTGTGTTTTACGCTATTCCTGCAAAGTTTGAAAATTATTAAAACTTCCCTCACACTCACATTTCATTCACATATGACCATGTGTCAGTATACTAAAGAAATTTCAGCAAAGTACAACATATCACTACTATGTTTCATTTCAAGCAGAATCTACACTAAAAATTCAAAGTGGACTGAGTAGAAAAGTTGATATGCATTGACTTTATGTCTGTATATATATATTTTTTTCTTCTTCTTCTTTATACATACATCTAATATACATTCTACATACAAATATAGGCTAAATTCTACTAGATTTTTTTGTGGAAATATAATGGCTCTAAAAACTGTAAGAAAACCACAAGATGGACAATGTAACAAAACCAAATTACATGACTTTAAAAACATGCTTCAAAATGTGCCACTTATAAAAAACAAAACTATGAGTCCAATAGCCAGATTAATGGTGCTTTTCCTTGAACACTTCCACTCTGTAGGCACAGCCTATTTGGTGAAGATTAAATCATGGTTCTTCAAAAGAAATTCTGTAAAGTGATTGATGTGGGTAATGGATGACAGGGAAGCCTGGTGACTGTGAGACCATACTAAGTTGGGACCAAATACAATGGCCAAGTTGGAGGCAGTCATTTTGTTCAGGTCACTGCATTCTATAACCTAATTCATAAAAAAAAAATTGACACAAGAGAACTTGAAAAAGAAATACACAAAAGCAATACATATTTCTAAAATAATTACATTATCCTCCTAATTACCAGGAAAATATCAATAGGTTTATAATAAATCAAAAATGTATTCCAAAAAATATTTACTCACACTTACAGCTATTACTCAACTGCCAGGGTTTCTTCCTTTGCCCATCTGAGCATTGGTCTGATTTTTTCTCGCTTGCTCCAGTCTTTTACACCCCACTTATTGCACTTGGCTATATTTGTCTGACACCTATATAAATGTGCCGTCTATCCTGGTACTGTATATAAACACCTCATTCAGCTAATTTCATCATCTTTTTGAGATTGACTCAATCCCAGTCTCTAACACTGGCTCTTAGCGGGGAGGAAGGACGGGAGAGTGTGAAAATAGATAAGTATTATTGGAAAGACATTGTTGATTTAAGAAAATGTTAACTTTCAAAACATACTTATCTCCGCTCACACTTACATAATGATAAGGTGGAGGGGCCACTGAGGGCATTATACATACAGAAAGCATCATGGATGTGTCAATAGAAGATTGGCATCCTAGCGGGAGAACTGCACTATATCCAGATGACGTATGCTCTTCACCCGAAACTTAATTCATGTACTGTGGGTGGAATTTTTCATGATTTGTCATCACTATTGGCCAGGCCCCAACCAGATAGTCATGGTTTCACTACTCAGGGTTGGAATTATAAGGCCATGGTCCCTATATCCCACACTGGTGGCTAGGACAATTGGACCACAATGAGAAGGTAAGCAAAACTGAAGTGGACAAACCTATCTCAACCTGAAGAAGTCTGAAAAGCAACACTCCCCAACCATGTGGGCAAGGTAAATTCCACTTGCTTCCAGAATTATGGGGAGGATGTGGAACAAACTGTTCTCAACCAAGGATCCAGGATGGGACCACTCTGCATTCGGAATTACGAGGGGACAATGGACTTCCATGAACAATGTACTGAACCAATATTGAAAAAAAAAGGGCCACACTCAACCCAATTGGATAGCTGAGCATCAGATCTGAACTGGTACTACAAGTAGGCTCCCACATAGGCTGATGTCTCTCCTACCGACAACTGGGAAAAAACATCCAGGGACCTGGGTAGGAGGGCCTTCAGCTTCACCCTCTTCTCCATGAGTGGAGGAATTCACTCTAACACTCTGGAGAAAAAGTCTCTGTCCACCACCCCAGTGACTGGAAACTAGGTGTGGTAAGGACTCTCTAGCTCCACTAGTAGAAGCTGGGGAGTAATTTGCATTGGGAAGACCTGAGGAACAGTGCTCTGGAAACAGTACAATAGGTGAACCGGAACAGTGCTCTGGAAACAGTACAATAGGTGAACCAAGTTTCCTAAATTTTAAAAGCAAACCAACCCCTATTTATTCAATCCAACAATCAGCAGGGATGAGCAGGATTCCCTTATGCTTTACTCGTGATAGTTCACAAGTGGCGGTCCAGCATAATACAGGAATACTATCTTGTCAGCCTCTAGGTGGTCTTATGGAACATTTCATTTCTACAGAGCCTGTTGCAACCTATATACATTATGGTGAATTAGTGGTTGATAAAAGCACACCTGTCTGGGCAACAGACAGTGGAATCCTGTGAAAATGAGGTAAGGGACCCTGAAAGGAATCAATGAAAATACTCATCCCTTTGTATAATCTAGCAGAAGTGGTTAAGATAGCTACAGGGGGTGGGCAAAACCCCTCAGATGTATATACTACCAGATCATGCAAATAATGAGAGATAAAAGTACTGGGGGTGGTCCACATATCAGTCTGCACAATGGCCTCCAGCAGGCAATTAAACCGGGCTGTTAAGGATACAGAAATGTGACAAATCTGATTATACATGACCTCACCTTCAAACAGATCCCAGAATAAAAACTCGTAGTCTAGCAACTCTAAAGGCATTAGTGAGGACAACAAAACTTCTAGACCCTCACTGAACATAACAATGATTGAAATCGAATTGGTCATAGAAGTGAGAAATAGAAATCAGACGAATCAGTGAAAAGGATTTATCCCCTTCCCTGTCTGTGCCTTGGATAAGAAGAATCAGTCTGAGGATGTAGGTAGAAAGATAAAGCAGTCTGTGGACAAAAAAGCACAAACCACTTTGACTGGTGATGTCTGTAGGCCAGCAGCAACGAAAAATAAACCTTCAGGTAAAGGTGATACATGGCATATGAAAATCAGGTCACAAACAGATGTTGAGAAAGGGCATGTAATGTAACCTTAATATACCAGTTAAGTAATTGTAATGGTTATTTGGGGCCAAGGACCCAAAGTGATTTGAGGAATCTGGAGAGTACTGGGGACTCAAAGAATATACTGTCACAAGTATTGAACAGTAGTCGATAAGCGCAACTGTGGAAAATACACGAACCCTTGCCAAAAAGCCAGTTCAAAAAGAGTTATGGTTGACACTTCTGATCGAAGTGGGTTCAACCTCCTCTCAATATACCATTACAAATATGCGAGTCATTTCCATTGATAAATGTCCATCGCGGGATTAGGTAAAGACTGAGACAGATACATGGAAACCTTAGAAATTATACCCCAAAAAAGATTGCATAACCTCTATGCCTGAAGCTTGAGCTTCTGGATAGCTGGGTGTACCATGTCAGATCATGGCTGTCTTCACAGAGATGGCCTAAGAAGAAGTGGAAGAGGTAGTCTCTCCTGAAGGCACTGAAGAAGCAAAAACCAGGGTGTAGCTGCCAATCCAATGCCATCAATAGGACCCATCAATAGGTTGGAATAAATCATATTTAGGACCTTGGGTAACATATGAATTGGAGGGAAGGCCTAGAGTTGTAATCCCATCCTGTCCTGACAGAATGCATCCACTTCCAAAGCCCGAAGGTGAGGTTTTGGAGACCAAATTGCCAGTATTTGGTGTTCAAATGAGAGGCCAACTCACCAGTCACAGTTGCAAAATGAAAACCAATCCAACAGAACCTTGTGATGCAGCATCTATTCTGTTGGGAGAATCTGTTGGGGTTGAGACAATTGATCTGCCACCACAGTCATCACCCATGGAACATGGCAAGCTAGTATGGTGATATGATAGGAGAGGTCCCAAGAAAGGAGGTCCAAGATTCGAAAACAAGGAGCCCTGGACCAAGTGCCTCCTCGATGAGAAACACAAGACACCACCACGGAATTGTCAGAGTGAAGCATGATGATTTTCCTCTTAATAAGCCCAGACCATGAAGCATTGCCTTTTGTATAGCAAGAAGGACTAAAACATTGTGTAAGGAAGTCTCGTCGTCCGTGCATATACCCTGGAATTCCTGACTGTTGGTATATGCACCCCCATCCCTGAAGCAAGGTATTCATGAAGAGTTGGTACTCTTGACGAGGTGGCAGTAGAGGAACCCTTATCTTAGTAGTGTCCTGACTTAACAACCTCTCGAGATTGAAGAATGACCCTGACTAAGGAAACTGCAAAATCCAGTGAATCGATGTTTATGATCCATTGGTCACATAAAGTCCACTAATAGGATCTCTTATGCTCTCGTCCCAAAGGCATGAGGGATTCAAGTGATGCCCACATTCCTAGAAGAGAAAGAATCATCTGTGCAGTGGAAGAAGGAGAGATGAGTTAGAGTCGGGCTTCCTGTTCCTGTTTCACGTCTCAGTTAGCTAATCCTGACTGAAATGTGATGAAAAATAAAAATACCCACACTGATGACATATTGAATTGGAACAAGAATAGATGTCTCAACTTTGAGAATGAATCCTCCATTGGTTGTTTCTGAAAGTAGAATCCGGGTGTGATGTTCTAACAATTGACAAGATGGTGCCAGCAGTAACCAGTTATCTATGGAGTGGTGTATGCACAGAGCTGATGTTAGTCCGCAGGTAAAAACCAGAAACTGCAGTACTTCACCCTTGTGCACAAAAAATGCTGATAGTGGTGTCATCCCACCACTATGACAATGTGCAGATAGGAGCTGACTACAACAAACTTGGACATCCACAATCCCAGTAAAAAAAAAATGTCAACTCAGATTGAGGAATGTGTAACTTATGAACCTTGGAAAATTTAGGTATTGATATAGACAAGAAAAATTGACGACTGGACACCAATTTCATGTCTTCTCAGGCCCAACAACCAACAGGAATAAAATCCCAGAAGAGTTAGCACGACTCTCTCACTACCCCCAGACCAACCAAAGTCTGATAGCCCTAGAACTAAGTTCCAAATCCTGCAGATCTGTGGGAGATGGAAGCCTTACAGGTTGGGTGGATAATGGTGCAAATGTGAACTGAACGACTAATCCTGACTCAAGGACCTGTAGTGCCCATGTATCCATGGTTAAAGTTACCACACATCCAGAAATTCTCAGGGTCAAGCCCCCATAGACCCCAAAGGCACACAATAATCACTGATGCTGATGGCAGTGATCTGACCAAGCAGCGAACCCTTGGATAGAGGCGGAACTATGACCCCCTGTTGGAGCCAATGAAATTCGAGACACCGATGACAACATGGATGAATGAAGAAGCTGACATTTGAACCAAGGTGCATTCTAAAAATGGTTCCAGCTCGTCATCAATGAAGTTGATGATCCTGAGAGTCTTTCAACAAAGTGAAGTGAAAGGAAAACAAAATGTTGGATTTTAGAGTTGTTAGTCTGTAGACTTACCCTGTTTCATCAGGGAACATTGATGAATTCAGGTTAACTACAAACCCTGTCTTAGAATCCCAAAATTCGAAGAGCAGATGTATTATTTGAGAGTCGGAATATGCTTCCACTTGACAGTGGTAGGCTAAATCACAAAGTATTACCCTGTTTATTTTCGTAAAAAATAAAATAAAAATCCGATTAGTTAGTTGATTTATGGCATGAATTCCTGGACTATTATTTCCGGCATGGAGGTAAATCTGGTCTCTCCTATCCCATCTCTGATATCTAGCACCGAACAACAATCATGGGAGGGGAGGGTCACTCTCAGTTGAGAATGTCAGTGATCTTATTCGTAGTGAGATGAAGACATATATTTGGTTCCATGGTCTTTTTGAGGCTGCAATTGGGGGTGATCCTCGATATTCTGGAGAGAATTTAGATTTGCTTTTTCCTGCACCTTCTTTTAGTCTGTTGGCTTTTCATCCCCCTGTGGGAGAGTGGTGAGTTTACAGACTTTCAATGCTGGAATCTGGGGTATGATTCCCTATAATAGACATAGCAGATAGCCCAACATTGATTTGCTCCAACTTACCTGACCAAATGTTGTTCTTTAAATGTCACAAAAAACAAAAAAGGAGGCCACTTTGGGATAAGCTGCAATTGATTGTTTTCTTCAGTTGGTTCATCAAGAGTGTGTGTGATGTTTTTGGTCTTTACCCAGTAGCTTTTGAGCCTGCACCTTACTTGATGCCTGAAAGGTCTGGGAGCGAATATTTAGTTTCTCTCCATCCATGTATATTGTGGTTCATGCAGGGAAGTTTATTTCTCAGTTATGTAAAGGGACAGTTATGCCTTATCCGACAAAGCTGTTGGAATGTTGAGAGTCAGAGTATGGTTCACCTTTCAGTGGTAGGCTAAATCATGAAATTCTGACAATCATGTCGAATAAGGCATAACGTTCAAAGTATCTCCAAATGACTGTAGCACTGGGAAACCAACTAGTTAAGCTTTGTCGAGAAAAAGTGATAACATTAGCTGAATGAGATGCTTACATACAGTACCAGGACAGAGGGTGCACTGACATAGGTGGCGAGTGTAACGAAATAAATATCGCCAAGGGCAACTAAGTGGAGCATAAAAGACTGGAGCAAGCAAGCAAGAAAAAATCTGACCAATGCTTAGATGGGCAAAGGAAGAAACCCTGGTAATTTAGTAATAGCTGTAAGTGTGTGAGAGAAGGTAAATATGCTCTGGAATAAAGAATTTCTTAAAAGAAAAAAGTAATATATCTTATCAGTCTTTGCTGTAATAAAGTTATTACCTGAGTTCACTCAAACATGTATAGATGTAAGAGGCTATATTTATTAGTTTAATTACGAGAATAATAAAGATTTTATGAAAATTACAGAATATTAATTAAAAATAAATCCACTGCTTGAGATTTTTATGTCCAGTTGCATCATTTAGGTACAAGTATTTAACTCAATGATTATCAGTAATTTACTTGTCAAGGAGAAATCCTCAGTAGATAAAAAAATATAATGGGACCTGAAAAGTGTAATGGTGGATTATTTCACAGCTATTTAAGTATGAACTGTTAGCAATATTGCATCAACTGAAACTCTGCAGTTAACAACCCAGTCACCTGATAAACTCTGGTATTGAGCAAAAGGCCTACGTGGCAGGGGGTGTACAATAATGAGTGTGTAACTGAAATATTATTGTACACTCTTTTCATTACAAACCATACTGAGTCAATACTTAAAGACATTATTGAAATTATTATCAATTTTAATTGATGTAACATCACACTCATTATCAACTGATGGTTTATGTTTCATAAGCTTTGGAGTTATCCACCATAATATAATTTATTTCTATTACATGTCCATAGGTGTCTCTAGTCAAGTAACAAAATATGTAACTCAAACAACAAAGCTTACCCATTCACATGTCTATTGTGTAGAGGAATCTGTCAATTTTTACAATATATGGAATGTGTCCAGAAGGATAGAAAAAAAAACACCTTTTGCCTCTGAAAATGGATCTATGTCTAATAAACCTACAATAACAAGTATTTTGAAAATACAGCCTATCTACAGTCCAGTTGTGTAGACAGATGTTTTGAAATAAGTGTAACATGCAGGCACAAGCTATATCTTTTATTTTCTAAATGTACTTTCAATTTCAAAGTGGTATTACCCTTGTTAGTACTTTAAACAATATATAGTTTTGTTCAAGGTTCAAAAGACAGTTCTAATGGTACTGACACACACAGCTTGTTAAAACCTGGATTTAATAAACTTTAACCCTCAAATGATAAACATATGTTTAAAAGGTAACAAAACATTTAATAAAAAGTGCAGGTTGTAATTATCAATAAAAGTTAACATATTTAATTACATTTCAAACAATATTTGAAATAATTAGGTTTACTTTAAGAGCAGTATTCAAATGAAGAATGAGATGCATATAGAAACTTCTAAATTACACACTTATTTCAAACTTGAAATGCATGCTTTCAATCACACATTCTTTGTGTATTGCAATGAAAGAATCACAAAGCAGATTTAGATATTTTCTTGTCATAAGCTTTACCTTTCTAATGCTCAAAAAACTTAAATCTTAAAATTAAATTTATCAGAAATTTATGTTTTGTTTTCCTTTAATTCATACAAATAAAAAACTCAACTACCTCACCTTGACCAGAAATCCTACCACATATTTTAGAAGCTGATAATTATCTTCTGGTAACCTTTGTAGCATTAACGATTTGGCAACAGAAAGTTTTTCTGTCCATTCCAGTTCTGTTTCTTGGATAATAATAATAAAAAAAAACTCATAAATCTGAATAACAATCACCTGTAAGTTTTTAACAGTTTATTTATACAATTAAAATCTCAGAAAACAAATTAAGAGCAAAACATTAATATATTTTTGTAATACTTTTCTGTGTCCAACACATTAGTGGTCTTGGCCAGATTTGGACTCAATATCATTACATAGACTAGAACAAAAGTTAACTGTTACTATTAGAGAAGATGGTATACTACTTGTTTAAATTGGACCTGAATTTAAACTCGTTTTTCATAGATGTATTTTATAATATTTCAAAGCACGATCAATTTTAAAGGATATTTAACCCTTTTGCACCTAGTAGGTAAAATTGCACACATCACAACCTTAACAGAGGTATATTCAAAATTTAATCAAACTACTTTATTATCAATGTATAATAAAAATAAACTTGGCATCAAAATATAGTTAACTAATGAAGTTTTAATATTAAGTTTTATGTTCTTAATTTCAGAAAGAAACATCTTAACAAATTCTCAATCCCCCCCCTAGTACGAAAATTCACATTTGTTCTCTAGGTATTCCCTCTTCTCTAATCTATTTACCACCCCTCTGAGAAGTACGAAATTTAAAGTAAATATTTCATTATAATAGACATTACTCAAGCAAAGCATAATTTTTCATAATCTCCAATTGTAATTGTTTATGTAGCCATAAACTAACAAGACAGACTCACTTGCCACACCCACTCATCACATTCTCTCTTTCACAAATCCTGAATAGTTTTTTTTGACATTGTATATTACATTATTTAACAAAGAGAAAGCTAAAGTTTCAATCTATCAAATGATATACTATATTACATTTTGTTCTGTACAGAAAATTGTCTATTTTGCTTCCAATTCAAACTTTATTCCTACGGGAAACACATAAATAAACTTAACCGAATATTTAAAGGTTCTTATCACATAATTAGAAAGCCGAAAAATTATGATAGTTATAGAACATTGTTTGCTTTTTACATGTTATTATTCTGTGTTCTTAGATGCAGTATTTAATTAAATAACAAATTATTTAAAATAAAAAAGTAGACCCAGGAAAGTACTATATTTAATTTTTCACGTGTATTCTTAATTTATTATTATAAAGTAACTAAAAAGTAAATCTTAGAAACTTGTTATGTTAGATTAGGTAAAATAAAGAATAATAATAATCCTTCATGAGGTATGTTTGCAAACAGCTTGTGAGTAGCCTGTGTGTTACATAATTTGATAGGGTAATATGAGCTACAATATTTATTTAGGAGGTTTTAGGAGTTAAGCAAATGTAATTTGAAAATTTTAGGATGAAGAAAACTATCTTTAAATCTTAACATGAAAATCATTTTGCATTCGGTGCAGTCAACATTCTGAAATCACATAAATAGGGACGAAGTTTTAATAATAATATCTACTAAAAATTCCGATTTTTTGTCTACAACAGACTTTTAGTGTTTATTAAAATCTTACCAAATTTCATGAAGATATATTAACTACTTTCAGAGTCATAATATGTATACCACCATAATTACACATTTGTGCAAAATACATGATCTAGTTGTAATAGGGTTAATGTGGAACTTAGATACGAACGACCAGAATATTATGACTGGTCTGCTTAGGTAATATGTCACAGAAAAGAATCATGTTATTGTGCATTCACAGAAATTTTCCACTTATGTACAAAATCTCTACTTTTCAGGTCACAGTCATCAGTGGAACAGAGCCTGTGAAGAAAAAGAGCTTGTCTTCTTGATACTAAAAAATAAATTACCTGCTTTAACAGTTTTAGTGACAACAAATGTTGACAGATTTTGAAAAATCCAACTCTTGACTGACTTAAATCATTATGTGAGTAGGTTGAAGTAAGTGTGATACAGTGTATGACTATATATTTGTGTAAAGAGATGTTATTATCAACTTAGAACTAAAAGCCAAATACCAAAAGAATTGTAGGGCAAAATACATGCAGAAGAAACTTCTTTCTAGTATTTAAGTCTGAGAATGTTCAATAATCAAGAACTAATGTCTTAGCAAGCCAAATAATACTAACTAGACAAGATTGCTCAAGTTCAACATAAAACAACACTGCTCCATTTGTGGTTAGTTCTGATTACAGAAAGGAAAATCTTACTGCTATGTGCACAGGGACAAGAGTCTATAAGGCAAAATATTTTGCAGGCTGCAGAAAGATGCTGTGATGATAAAGTAATACTTAGAATGATGACTTATCCTGACATGTTTACATATGATGCAAAATGTATCTGACAGGAATATCCAAGTGGTCATTAATAACAAAATAAAAGGAAAGAAATGTCAGTGTATGATCAAACAATAATGATAAATATGAAGCAACTAAACAAAACCTTATTTTCCAATGAACACAGAGAGATATGTTCAGATGCATTAATAAAATGGGTGGAAATGCAATGAAAGTTTTGCACAGAGGAGAGTTTCGAGACATCACAGAAGAATCAAATGGGTATGACAAACAACAAATAATTCACTTGGCCATTGGTATCCTTTAAAGCTTCATTGGTAGTATTCAAGAGAGCACTGACAGTTATTTGTCTGTAATGGATATGAATATAGATATTTGCAAAGACTTTATGGCAAATCATGTACTAATATTACATGTTATCAGGATCTATTAGACCAGTGGTTGTCAATGTGGGGTATATGGCCCCCCAGGGGGCCACGCCATGTTTCTAAGGGGCCACAGTAAATTCTGAGTGGGCCACAGAAACTTCACTGCCCGAATAAAATACTTCAACAGCCCAAGCTGGATTCAAACCTGACAAACATTATTTTTGGATAAGTAGTGAAATAGCTATTAAGTTTCCACAGCTCTGGGAGAAGGCAAAGTTATATTTTATTGCTTTTCCCACATCTTAACTGGTTGAATTTGGTTTTAGTCGGGTGACTTACTTGCTATCAAAAATACGTAACCACCTTGATGTTGTAAAGAGAGGCAACCAGACATTCAAAAACTTTCAAGTGTTCATGAGGCCCAAGGATCACACTGAATAAAATGTCAATGATTAACAGAATTTTTTTACTTGTACAAGTAAACAGTATGTTATAAACAAAATATTTAAAAGCAATAAAATATTGTAAAATAATATTATAAATATATTATAAATCAACAGTGTGGAAATAAAGTAACTTTTTTCCTCAGTAACATTGTCTACAAAGGTTGGGGCCACAGAGATAAATCAAACTCAAAAAGGTTGAGAAACACCGTATTAAACAATAACTTTAAACTGAAAGATCTCACCATATGTCATAAAATCATTGCAATGAGTTAATGCTTGACAACTCCAATAACACTGGGTCTAACTTAACCATGCACCATGACTTCAAAAGTAGGCAATTGATAAATATCTTAAGTTCACTATGACCCTGCATTACTTATGATAAAGTCAAGCATTTTGTTTGATCCTTAGTGAAATGTCAACTACCATCTGAAGGTCAGAGAGACACACACCTGAATGACTGCTTCCAGTAAAAATAGACAGCCTTTCTTACATTGATAATTTTGATCAAAATGAAGAGATGTTCAATGGCAAGTCCAGGATTCATTCAATGACTATTATAATTGACCAGCAGATTACTGTTTCTGTTCAAGGCTGCCACAAACATGATCCAAAGACAAAGCACTCACTGAACTACATAGGATGGATGAAGCAGATATATGAAAACCTTTACTGCAACCTGAACCTCCAATGGTTCCTGACCATATAAACTGCAACAAAGACATAGACTTACTTTTTACAAGAGAGAAGGTGCCAACCATCTGATATGGAAACTTGCACGGTACATAAGCAATAAACCCAAAATACCTTTCTGGACATTTCTCAGTTTAAAGTTTGGCAACCTTTAGCAACATTTCAGTAATTATCTTGTATGTCACAGAGAGATCTGTCAACTATGTTTATACACCGAGTCTCTAAGACAGAACCACATATTTGTCACAGCAGATTTATCCATTTACAGCAATTTTGGAACATGAGGATAGGATAAAGTGAACATGAGGATAGGAAGAATGCACTTAACTTTGACCGTGATAATAAGCATAGAGAAGTTCTATGGAGAAGAAGGCCTGAAGGGAATCTTGATAGTCTCAAATGTGTATGCCTAACATACAGCTATACTGATGCTTATCAGTCCATGGTTTAAGAGGATTAAAGTTAAGAGGTGGAAGCACTTACCTTTTTTCTGTTGGATGCAGTAAGAATGGATGGCTTTGCAAGGAAATGACCTTATATCAGATGATGTTAAAAACCTTCTGCATGACTCATAATTTGCTTTAAAGTTAGGTGACCAAGAAATGGCTAAAGATCACATTGCGAATGTACAGGCTAAGCTAAAAGAAATCTCAGTGAGAAGAGATAAGGTTGTTGAAAAAAGAAGGAAACAATCTGAAATGTTTCCATACTAGTGTAACCTCCTGGATGCTGTAAACATCCTTATTTGACTTCTGAGAAATGATGTGGATATAGACTTTAAACTACATTGAAAACTGTTACTGAGACTTTACCCTTGTTTGGGCTGCTGAATAAAATAATTATGTTAAATTTACTCCCACTTATACCACAGAAATAAATAAACTGGTAAATGATAATCCTCCAGCTTCTCAACATCTCTGGAATGGAGGCTTCATTGCTTACTGTTAAACAAAAACATTGTTTAACTGCATACCTATAGAATAAGCACTAGAACAGTCTGTGAACAGAGAATGGAAGAGTCAAGAAGCAATGATAAGATTTGCATGAAAAAAGGTACTCTGACAAGGTTGCTAATAATGTACCACTTGTCAGGAGAATATGCAACCTCATTCACAGCTATGTGTTACATACCATTTGAAAATAACCATCAGAAAGGGATGAATAGACTATTTGTATTCATAAAATAACTTCAAGATATAGAGCAGTTTGCATGCTGTACATGACTTAAAGGGATGTGACAGCACCTTTCTGCAAAGGTTAATATCTTGCTGAAGTAAAAGCATGATCTGGAATAGCTTTCTTCATTTAGCAACAAGCTAAATGTAACCAATGATGTTATAAAGGTTACAAGAAATTTTTCTCTGAAACTGTAAGCCACATACCAATCACAAATATTTCAAATCCCCCTGCTCATGGATGGCAAAGATTGGAAAATAGCCATCACAACCAGTGTTTTGTGAGAGATGAAAAGAGACAACACTGAAGAAAGTCCAAAACTTTATGCATTTGTTTTTTTATTAACCCTTTCACAGCAGGATTGTGTAAGATACACGAGCCCATCTGGGGAAGGATATGCGTGCAACAACAGACATGGTAACTCTGAGCTTTCTTAATGTATCCTCACAAAAACTGGTAAGATTTTGTTAAATATAATAAATATCTTGTACACAAAGAATGACATTACTTTAGTTAAGTCTTTCTACTAAAATATGTTATTTATCTACTGTAGTTATTTGCACTCAAACTCTGAATAATTTGAGTGTAAGGTGATTTTCTTTTTAAGTGTAAAAATACTTTTCTTCATCTTAGAAGTTTTGAGTTTTATTTGCATAACCTCTAGAACCTCCAAAATGAATATCAAAAGTTTTTTAAAATAAATGTTTATATTTTATTTTACATTTTCTCTACCACATCACTAACTGTAGATATGACCATAAATATACAGTGCAATGAAAAGCTTACAATTAAGAAATAGAAAAATGTACAAAACCTTTAATTTTTTGTAAAATATCTTAAAAGAAATTCTTTTGGCTTTATTCATTATTGCAGGTCTTTTTGCATATAGTTAATTTTTAATGTTTTATTTTCCTTTCCTTTCCTGTCCTTTACCATTTATTATTCATCTCGACACAAGCCAATGGTGTCCTCAGTGCATATTACAGTATGTTTGGCAGAGATGTGCAAGCCTTTGGTAAAATTTTTTGCACTTGCGTAATATCGTAAACCTTGAGAGTCGAGGCAAAGTTTGAGGTATATTTTAAAAATGATAAAAAAATTTCTATTATGCATTTTAAAACATAAATAATACATAATTTACTAAAATATAAAAGAAAACCCTAAATACAATTTAAGTGTCTCTCTAACTATAACATAGTTAAGTAAAAAACAACTGTAGGTGCTATCATGGACAAAACAGCCAACAGTACTACTGGCAGTTACAACTAACTGACAATGACAACTTTGTGTCAATTTAAAAATAATCATTGTTGGATTACAGTGTAAAATGAGCTCTCTCTAATGGTTATAAACACATGCATCAAATAAGTATATGTGGATTTGAAATCTCAAGGCTAAGTTATTGAAGGTGGGTATGGAACCTGTCGGGGTGTGGCAAAAATATATTTCTTGTTTTAACTCAACTCAGCCAAAGAACTTTGGAATATATATGTAAATAGTGCAGTAAATGTAGTTTTTGTCTAGACATTCACCTACAAACACTGTAGTTGTCTGATTCAAGTTAGAAACTGTGAAAGTCCAGATTTATGAACCTTTATGCATCATGCGAGAAAAAAACTAACATTTAAGTATTTTTTTAAAGGTTTCTTTTGAAATAAAGGAACTAAAACTTAGATAATATAAAACTTCGAATTATAACATACGTTATAATGTTAATTTCATTGACATAAATTGATACTAAAGTTGTTTAATTAAATTTTAAATGTAACTCTGACTTCTGCAGAAAAGAGTTTAATGGGGTATCCACTATGGATTAATGCAGTGTGACACAAGCTGACATTTTCAGTATTTTTCATCTGGACTACCACATATAGGTAATTGAAGGTACTACGTACAGTGATCAAAATACAACACTGCTTTTATGTATACAATCTGATGGCATTTACAATTACCACAACAAAGAATCAATGTTGTAATTAGGTCTCATGGGGACCACAGATCAAAATTACATAGAGCCCTTAATTAGTGTTGTTAACTATTGTTGCAGCCCATGATTTTGATCCAACTTGTAGGATAAATAGTTATACCCACGTAAAGGGATAAAACCAGTAGATTGTAATAATAGTAATCAGGAATAATTGAACATCATAAGGAATAACACAAATTCATATTTAGGAAAATGGAAAGAACATGTCTATTCTAGTTTTTTTAAAATGTTTTCAACGTCACTGCTCATACCTTCTGACTGATTTTGACAGAATGGTATTTTTCATGATTTAAAAAAGAAAATGCTTTTTAAAGTTAAACAAATATTAATTACCCAGTTCTTCTAATGACTCCTAGTGTAAAATTCATAGTGAAGGTCAATCAAGTGATATCATCATTTTAAAGCAATTTCATATTATGATCTTCTGGCATTTTAACTTCAACAGTATATTGTTAAAATGATGTCCTCTTATCTTTAAACAAGCAAGGTTTGCTTTTAATTATGAAATGGAATATCAGAAACCTAGTGTATCATACATATTTCAATCCAGAGATTAAGGATTTGGATCAAATGTACAAATATTCATTAAGTCTATATTTAAGTATACAAGGTATCGTACATCAGATATTTTGTAAAGATGTGTTTTCTATGAATTCCTTTGCATGTATCATAAATAAGTAGGTTATATTCAAGCCACTTCTATATCCATGTAACTGATGAAACAATATGCTCTTCATTTTGCGACATTGTTATGTGGGGAAGTGTTGAATTCATCTCTGATTTTTGGTTAATATTTTGTTTATATACAGTAGTTCCCCCTCCTCTGATTCATATAAGATTCTCTTTACTCTACCGTATATAGGGTTACCTTGGTGATTTAAAGCTCTATCTGGAAATGGCCACAGAATTATATGTTTACATACTTAAGCACTAATCATCAACATTAATCAAGTCCTGAATTCAGTCCTGAACCATGCAGAACTTTTGAAATAACAAGTTAAGTTTCATTTATAACATTTTAATTAAATCTTACTTAATTTATTATTCAACAATTGTATTTGTCAATAATACAAAGATAATAAAAGTATTTAAATTGTATTCTATCTACTAACTACAAAACAAGTTATATCAGAAATAACATTTCATAAAACATTTTTTTTTTCTCTGAAAACAATGTTTACACAGCTAAACAGTAATATTTTTCCTGAAGTTTGAAATAAAATATCCAAAATTAAAGTAAAGGTTATTATATTTGTTAAGGAAACAATAGTAACATACCTTGAAAGCTAATGATATCATCATATAAATCAAATGTTAGTAAAGGTTCCTGTAACTCTCTCAAGAAGGACTTAATTATCACAGCAGGTACATGGATGTCATTGTAATCTTCAAAATTCACTGGCTTACCTAAATACATATATACAAAGATAATGGTACAAACCTATTACATTAAATCAGGTAAAGGAAATATACATCATTTCACTTGAAATTATCGTGTTCTTTAAAACTGAAACCACTAGTTCTTTTCGAGGTTGAGAATGACTGTTTGGCCTGTCAAATTAAGTACAATACTGCAGATGAACATAATGGCATAATCTTGGTTTAAAAATCAGAATTATCCTATCAAAATAGTAATGGTTGGGATATCTGTTTGGATGTGAGGCATCAATAATCTTTTGGCCTTTCAAAATTTCTAAATGTCTAATGAAAACAAAATTAGTTTTTTAACTCCTTCAATCCTCCAATAACAAAGATTTAAGTCCACAGAATTTAAATGGCCAAGAAAATTGGAACAGAGACATACATACAGATAATTATATAGTCAAGTTACCAGAGAAAGAATGAAAAAAAAAAGATCAATTTTGATTACAGAAAAATATTAAAAACTTGTATAAATATTCTATTTAAACTACTAAAACATGAATCAATAGAAAAAACAGAATATAAAACATATAAACTCACTAAAAAGCACATACCTGAAAACATCAAAACTATTGGAAACAAATAATCACACTTACAAATATAAAGTTCTTTCAACACCTTAAACTTCACAAGTCATCATTTATATAGTGATTCATTCACTATGAATTTACAAAAGGGGTCAGAAACACCATAGAACAACCAATAAAACGTCTGTTTAGCTTGGAATCTGTCAATACATTTTCCCCAAAATTCCTGTAAACCAATTTCTGCATATTGTAAGAAACTACCTAAGAACACATCTTTAAAGTTCTACACCAACCAATTTTCCTACCAACTCTGATCATCCTATTTAAAAACAACAATTTCTTCAGAATCCAAGAAATGTTTTTCAAATAAATGAGCTACCTTCCTCAATGGTCTGCATTATTTTTAATTTGCAATGAACTTATTATGAAAACCATTTGAACCTAAAGTCTAGAATTCAATCAAACGACCCAAGAACTGCCTATCTTGCAATATCAATACACTAACACATCAAACTTGACAATTTTCTACACAATATAAATTACCTGAAGCCCGAAACTGAATTAAACATGTAGATTTAAAGAAATAAAACATTATACCCAAGGTTAATGATGATAATATATTAGTAAATATAAATTTAGTTTGAGATGGGAAGGAAAAATCTAAAAAAATTGATGAATGTGTTGTTTATAGGCAAGACTCTTCAGAGCTGTGCAAAAATATGTTTGAACACTTTTCATTTTTCTGTGAGAATTACAAATAAATGTTGAAAAATGACAAAATATAAATTCTACAATATATCTGAGTAAACACTGTTGAAATAGTGTTAGAATTATTATTTGTACTAAAATTTCAAAATTTGATATGCATCTGAAAGGTGCTCAACTGTTATCAGAAACAAATGTTTTGTGTCTTTGTGCATAAATCCATTTAATTTTAACATAGTAAGTGAATATTACAGATTAATAAACTGTTATCTTAATATTTATCAGTTTTTTGCCAAATAGCCATCTTCAATCCTAGTTTTTAAAAGGAACTAACATTCATGTTTTTGACATAAGGCAACACCTTATTAATCAGTTGTCAGAAAAACTATTCAGTAGACCTAGATATTTCTGCATTACAAAGTTACACAGTTACAACAACACTTTAAAGACTTACAACAACCCCTGCCAGTTCCATTTTAAATAAAACAAGAGTTTAGAAACTTATGAACAACCCCTGCCAGTACCAGGTTAGATACAACAACACATTAAAGACTTACAACAACCCCTGTCAGAGTTACAGAGTTTGAGGTTACAATGTAGGAACAGTAGCTACTTTGCATGTTTGGGGAAGAAACCAGTTTCTCAATATATTAGTCTGAAAATCCTTGTTCATATTTTCAATTCAAATGAAACATAAAACGATGACACATGCATAATAATTTTGTTTATATAAGTTTAAAAAAAGAAACATGCTCTACATGTTTCGGCAGACTTTAAACAATATTTACTCCATTATCACTTATTAGTAGGTGAATATTTTCCTTCTTTGATTTTCCATATAGTCATTTGATCTTTGAAATTTATCTGTACTAAATACCAGTACCGCAAGTACCATGTTGTAAATCTACTTGTTCTATTATCTAGTGTCAGTGAGCCTAAGAAAACTGTTCTTGAGCATGATAACTATTAAATGTTTCATGACTTGTTTGGTAATTGTCTCAGAACTTGAAGCCACACTCTCATCTTCAATATTAGATCCAGCAAGACACTTCAGTTTGTTGAAAAGTCTTATAGTTTTTAGCAATCATACTTTTCAAGTGATTGTGCATTAATTCATATTATGAACCAATGAAAGTAAACTTTCTAACATAAATTATTGTAAGTGAATTAAATATCGTAATAATAAGTATATGTGAAAGTTTAGTTAGTGGTAAATCAGCCCATTAATTGCCTGACCACAACAACACAAAGAAGTATAAACTTTCACACTCATAGTTAAAAAGCCTTATGGAATATAGGGAAACAAGGATGGCTCGTACTTTTGGATAGAACATCGACCTTGTTAGCCAAAGATCCTAGAATCAAGTCCCAGTTAGAAAATTCTTTTCACTTACAATAACGTTTGATTTTAGGGTAGGGGCAAGGGCATCAGAATCAGTTGGATATTTGCCCCACAAATAATTTCGGCCATTAAAAGTTTTTCTTAAGCTTCTTTTGAATGTATTTTTTACTGAACAATGTTATGCTCTATCAGCATTACTTGACAGTCAAATATTACCACTGTTAAATTAGTTTTAAGTGAAGTGATGGCATTGTAGCTGGTCCTGGTTTTGAACTTAATAAATCTAGAAATTGTAAAACCTAAAACACATATATAATAATATATAGAACAAAATGTCTGTTATGAGATTTTGACCTTAAAAAAATAATTTCACCTAAAAATAAAATATTTTCCATTGCTGCCAGTCCTTGTTGTCATTCATTAACTCGTAACAGAAAATGTCTGTTATCTGTGCTATAGCCACAGACAATTTTCCAATAGGAGTTAATGAATAATGATGGGTGCTATGATCACCAATATTTTCTGTTATTAGCTAACCAATGACAAGCAGTGGCAATGGACAAATTTTTCTTTTTTTATGATTAAAATTTTATTGTTTTTTTTAGATTAGAATGTGATAATAGATATCCCAGTTTTGGTTTTTATACTGACTTTCATCATTGTTATATGTTGCTGATTTGATAGCCTTAAATTTTGGTCAGCAACAATCTGCCAGCCAGATTCACGTAATTTTGTATCATGCCTTTGTTGATTATGTCTATTGCTACTTGTATCACAAGTTATAACAAACAGCAAGAATATGCAGTGAAATATTTACTTTAGAAATATAATAGTGGATTATTAGTACCAGTGTACAACTACCAGATTTTATGTTATGGTAACCCCACTGTCTTCTGCCTAATATTACTAACGTTTAAAAGTCAATTTCTTACCCTGTCTTCTTTTTCAAGATAAGTTTTCAATTCACTATGGTTCCCCACCTCACCAATGTAAATTTGCTTCCTGTGCCCCTGAGTAGGAGCTGCTTCCCCTTTGCCACTACATTAAAATTTGCACTTAAAATCATCAACTACCCCAAAGAAATCCCACACAGGAGTCTTTTATTTTATACTACTAATGATAACATGAAAACACAAAGGTTACAAGTGAATCACTCTTCACTAAGTCAACAACTACATCAGAGTCTGAGAGATCGATCAGTCTGTGCACTGCAAATATCAGGTCTGTGTACATTTTGTTCACTGACTATTGCTAAGTTGTAACATATGCCAACGTTATAGCTCAAGAGCATACTAAAGGTTGAGCTTTAAAGAAACACTGGGAAAGGCAAGAAAATAATTCTTAAAATTCTTTGGTCTCTGTAAAACATATTACTGGCAGTTGTAGACACTGGAGAGAGAGCCAACTGCAGTATGGAATTATTATATGAAAACCCATCCACACGAACAGATACCTACACTTCCAGTCTTATCATCCAAACTTGATAAAACATTGTATAATCCAGTACCTAAACAAGAGAGCAGAAAACATTTGCAATAACACATCCATCGAAACAGAATGCCAAAACATCATAGTGTTTTAAACAGAATGGTTCCACCTCTTCCTTCATCAAGAACTCCCTGAAAAAGACCACAACAGAAAAGAAAAATAAAGAAACCACTACCACTACAACCATATACCTCCCATACCTGAAAAATGTCAGTGAAAAACTCAAATGAAAAGCTAAGAAATTCAACATAGACGTCTGGCGGAAATCTTACAAAACACTAAGATCCATTCTGGTGAAGAACAAACAGAAACCTACTAACAAAAAACAGAAAAACGTCATTTATGAAATTCCGTGTTCCTGCAACAAAACATACATTGGAGAAACTGGAAGAAGACTTGCGACAAGAATAAAGAGAGCACAAGACTTATGAAAACACAAAATTCAGCCAATGCAGAACACACCATGTCAACTGGACACAACATAAACTGGGAAAAAGCTAGAATCATCGACACAGACAAATTTTGGAAGACAAGAAAAATTAAAGAATCATTTTACATTAACACAATAAAACCTTCACTAAACAGAGATTCAGGATTAGAGGTGAGTAAACTGTGGCTACCATTGGTTGAGGCTACAGGAAGTCTCTCCTCCAATCAGAAATGTGTTTTAACCAACCAATCATAACACGCTCTCCACAATCCACTATAAAGACTAAACTACACCACACACACACATTGACCTGAAGACGAAAGGTGGAAGACTTTCGAAACCTCATCCTCTACATTTGTAGGTTTCTACAACAGGCAGTTGCTGTCCATTTGAAATTTAGATTCATATATGATCCTTTGTTAATGTATTATTAACATATCCTACCAGTCTATAATTTATTTACTTTTTTTTTTTTTACAAAATATCATACTTACTTTTAAATTTACATGTTGCCTTTGAAATAATGCCAATATTTGTTTAATAAAAATAAACACAGCAATTACTTAGTATCTGGCTGAAATGCTGCTATCCATTACATCTCTACAAGAAAATAATTTTACTAGAGAGACTAGTATGCTTCAATAATGCTTTTAATTTACTTTGTGTAACAAAAACTTGAACTGTTAATAGAACAAAATACCATAAAAGGGAAAAAAATTTTGCAAGATAAATATTTTGAATAAATATTTTCAGTCATATGTGCAAAGCTGAAAACTCAACACTGAATACTTTTTGAATGACTGAATAAATCAGAACAATTAAGGTACAATAGATATTAATAATGCAGCAAGTTAAGTGGAATTGCAAAATTAGTAAATTTTACAAAATACTATTACTAAGTTCCTTCAGGAAAACAACACTAAATCAGTGTTGCCAAAATACTTATATGCCAAATTTTACATGATAACAACTTCAATCCTTCACAGATGAATGAAATCATCAACTTCAAAATTAGTTACACTTATTAGGTGATCCTTCATTACTGCTTTTAGTATGAGTATTTTTACAGACCTTTATTAAAAAAAGTGTATTACTCATAAAACTCACAAACATTAAGGCTCTGCTAAAAATAAAGGCCTAATCAGTAAGTCATGGTGCAGCACAGAATATGCAGAATTCAGGAAATTTTAAATTGCTTTTTTTATACATTGAATAACAACAAAAGATAAAGAGGAAAATCGATGAAAAATGAAACACTGATGTGATACTTAATCATACAAAAGCTAATTTACTGTAAAGATGCAAATATAACAGTCAAAACAGAATTAAGATTAATTTTGAAAAAAAAGTTACAAACACACACACACACAGATGTATGTATGTATGTATGTACACACACACACAGATGTATGTATGTATGTATGTACACACACACACAGATGTATGTATGTATGTATGTATGTACACACACACACAGATGTATGTATGTATGTACACACACACACAGATGTATGTATGTATGTACACACACACACACATATATATATATATATTCAAGTTGAGTTTTTTGAAGTATACCTTCATCAAAGAGACCCTGTACTGTTTTAAGAATTTTGGTATTGGCTGACCTCCTGAAGATTCCTTCAGTTTCAAGTGCTGTACAGGAATAAAAAGTAATTATGATTATAAAATTTAACCAGCAGGAAAAAAATTAGATTATAGCAATACATGTGTATGGCAATACTTATGCTTCTCATCTGTTAGTTACCTTCAAAATGAATGTTAAATTAAGCCTTGTCTGAAAAGTTTGCAAACTTCCTTTTTAAACTTTTGGATCAAAGATACAAACACATTTTTTGTTAGAATGATATAAAAATATATTTAGCAACTCACATCTTTATCCATCTCTAACTAATTATTTATCTTACTTCAACTGATTATTTACACTATATTTCAGGGTTGGAAAGTATCTAATTGACCAGTCAAATAATGTCAAATTACAGTCGATTGACTTTATTTTTATTGGTCAAGTAACCTAAAAACTATACTAAATACTACAAATATCAGCATAGTAGTTGGGGTTTTAGATTAGTTTTCAGGACCCAAATTACCCCCTCTACTTATAGGCGAGTTTTGGGATCACACTCCTACCAACAGACTTCAAAACCATACTTATTGTGTCACACCCTAATATATTTTAAATTTTTAACATTTTGTAGATATATGCATCAATATAATGCACAAGTTTAATTAGCCCCTACTGTTTACCCACTGAAACCCTTATATGTGAGTGATATTATACTATGCCATATTATAATATCCATTAATTTTATGGAAACAACAGCTTTATTTTTTTTATCTTGCAGTACAACTTCATAATAATGGCATGTCATTTATTTACGATACACAAAGTAAAAATCGCAGCAGTGTATGCAGCAATGTTTTATTTGTTGTCAGAAAGTGTAAACAAACCATAAAGTGATTGGTCTATATTTTCACATTAGATTAAGTAAATTCAATATATTCAGTTAAGATAATAAAAAACAAATAATAAGTAAAATATCTAACTGTATTTCACATTGACAATTATTTAACCAATCAAATGCCTAACTCTGCTTTATTTAATATGTATTAATACCAATACAATACATACAATTTATCTTTAATAATAATTTCATGGCTGCTGAAAGTAATAAAATGCTTTTCTAATCTTATCCTTGGTGACATTCTACAGGTAAAAAAATTACAAAAATATAACTTAATATGACGTATACAAGTCAAAATCAATCTATACGTTTACTAAAACAACAAAGATTTATGCTAAGCAACTATAAACTATAATATAAGTCTGTCTTGGGTTGAGTGATGGCACATGAAAATGTATGATACACTTTTCTGAACATTACATTTAAACAGCATCCACATTCATTTAGCATATTATGACTAAATACAAATAATCAATTTAATTTTACTAAATCTTCAACATTACACAAGCAGCTTTGCTACACATAGGTTCAAAAACAAATGTACAGTACATTATTTGTTGTTCTTAAGCACAATTTATCGTTACGCGAAGAAAAATCATATTGAATATGTTCATAACATAAAATACCTGTGTCATTGTCAAGATAAGCAATACACTCCTTTAAAACTCGAGGTACAGGGTCACCACAGTTGTGTTCCTTGATGCTACAGAAAATAAGTAATATTTCTTGGTAATTTCAATTGTTCTTCAAAGAATCTTGGTGATCAACAGATACATATGTATATTCATTTATTTTCACTATATAATGAATTCATCATTGAAAACTTCTCCATGTATGCCAAAAAAACAAAACAGTACACATTACAACATGCTACAGCAATATATTAAGCTTATAAAATGATGTTTTATGCAAAACATCTCAAAGTACGAATAACACATGTAAACTTCTGGATTGTAAATTAAATCCTATGTCTAACTTTATGGCTAATTTTCTAACTTTACTTACAAATATGAAATGCATTACAAGTTCAAAATCCCACTACAATAGAAAAACATTTACACATTGATTTTCTTTATCTGGTACTGTAATACTGCTGGATCAAAAAAATCAGAACTACTACTATTACAACAGCTCATATGTTTTGCAAACTTGTCTGAAAAAATTGCAAATATATTTTATTGATGAAAATAAAACTTACAGAATACTGGTAAAGTAAGATTAAATTCTCATTTAATTTTCATATCCACTTACTTTGACTCTAACCGTCCAAATGGCCAGTGACTATGCAAATTAAAAGCCCTGACCCTTGAAGGGTAATATTACAGGACTTTCCAACATAAAGTTAGCTTATTCTGCAGTTAAAAAAACACGAAAGGCAAGAAATTTTAGCATTTTGAAGAACTGAACTTGCATAACAAAGGAAGGCATGATTCCGTCAGGGTAAAAACAGCTTATTCCATGACTAGCAAACAGTTATTGTGGGATATAGTGTATAAAGTTAAATTACATAAATTTCGATTGACAAAAGCAACACAAGAGTTATGTTGACAAGCTTTTCATAAGCTACATAAACAAATGGAAAACTATTTGCTGAAGGATGTAAAAATAGTATCTTGCAAGTGACAAGTGGGAGTATATGATCACATTAACTAAGCATATGTCAATCCTCTCATGGACAGCAATACCTTTGGTTTGCTTAAATGGGCCTTCAGAACTTACTAGCCATACCCAGCTGATGATTTTGAAAAAAATGTGGAAACTGCATTGTATAGCAACAACTTTTAACTAGGGCTATGGCATGGCTAACCCCATCAGTGGATGGAGGAAGTGCTGTAATGCCTAGACACTCATTCCTGTGTTTTTATTTAGATCATGAACATCTCTATATATATAGTTGATAATAGCAAGAAAGTACAGTAAAACGGAAAAGTTATTATTTTGTGTTCAAAATATTTCTTTATTCCATAACATTCTGTGAGGGGGAAGTTAAGAACAACAGCAGTTGCTTTCAAGACTTCCTTCTTACCTTCTTGCACATTAGAAATTTTTTCTCTAAAGGAAAAAGTTCATACTCTCAACCCTAACTGGAACTGTCTCCCATATATTAGACAGACACGTATACATTATAAATCAATTCAATAGATACTTTAATCACTTCAATTCAAAAAAGAAATTATTCAATTCATATTTGTCATTAATATATTACTATAATCTATAAACAAATGTTAACAGTTTGTTGTTATGAAATGCTAACATCTATTGAAATAAATAATTTTACAAGTTGTCTGCATCAGTTTTTGTATAAAATTGAAGAAACAACAAAAGGTTTGAGGACCTGGTGGAAGAACCACCACTTCTTAACAAAAATTCAGGATCCATCTGAAAGCAATATTTATAATGATATTTTTTCAAATTAACTAAGTTGTAAACTCCTATCCTAATAAATAAAAGTATTTCAATATTAAAGGGAAAACAATCTGATGGCACCATTGTAATAAAGTAAATGGATAATGCTGTGTTGGCAATTTAGGTATCATTTATGTTAGCTAAAATATAATTTTTGGAAAAGAAATATTTTATCAATGTAATCTTTAAGGTTAAGTTCTATTCTATAGCATTTTAAGCAAGATGTAAAACATTTCAACAGAAAAGATTAACATAAGCATTATAAATGGCATTCAGAGTGAAATCATGCACAGTTTATTACTTGACTCAGTAGTTCATTGATGTCTTTCAGGTATATTTTACTTTAACTCATTTTTAATTATCATTATTTTTTATTATTGTATGTGATTTGTAGTGCAAAGCTACATAATAAGATATCTGTGCTCTGTCCACCACAGGGAATCATACACCGGATTTTAGCATTGTAAGTCCATAAACTTACCTCTAACCAATCAGGGGAGTTTTTTCTTCACTATTAAAATTAAACATAGAATTAGCACTGTCCTTGTCTTTACAGTAATAATTCTTTTTACAGCTCAAGTATTAAGCACTGTATGTTGTTTTTTTTCAGTTTAAAATAAAGTTAAAGTGATTGCAAATACTAGAATAAAGTTATAAATAAATATTTTGCTTTCAGTAAAAGCTAAACTTTCCTTAACCTATACTATAAATTATTTCTTACTAAGAAAGAGAGACTCGAAACTGTTGTGTATCATAGACAGGCCCTGGAAGATGCAAGCTGCTACTACTTGGTGAATTAGGAAACCAGGTTGAAGATCCCTTATCAACTGCTTGAAGTTGTTTATCATAACTAAATAAAAACAAACCCAGATAAGAAAACACAAAATAAATTTAAATTCATATTACATCAAGTTAAAAACAAGTTGATGAGTATTTCATTATAATACGGAACATTGAACACCAATTAATTTAAAATTCACACACTTTACACAAATAATTTTCTGAGAAATAGTAAGTTAATATTAATTTCATGCCCTCAAGAGATTTGGTCTTGATCTAGCTGTGTAAAAATTTATCAGATCATTACATAAATTTTATATTTGGAATAGTGAAGTACTTTATAAAGATCAACACAGCTACAGATAAGCATATTTCTTAAAAGGTATGATATTACATCAAAATAACAGATACTAATCCTAATCATTATTTTCTGGCATAGTAAGAGAACCCAGAAAGAACATTGTAGGACCTCAACATTAAGGGCACCCTTCTGACTGTGTCCAAGTGCTCTCTATAGCAAGGGGCCCTTAATATAAAAAAATAAGCCATGCAAAACTGGATTTTATAATGACCATACTAAATTTCTGAATTTTAAGGCCCCCCATTTTGTTTGGTGTATGCATGACACAGGTGTTTGTGAGTTGCACATTGCCCTGACATGGAGTGTTGTCAACAGGTCTCAGAAGGTTGATTAGCTGTGTCCTTCTTTCTTTACTATTGGTCACAAAGTTTGAAATTACTTCTCTTCAGAGTTTGAACTGCTAAACATTTCACATTTATTTTCTGTGTTTATTTTACTGTCAATGACTGAAGAAGAAATCCGCATAAAATAAAACAACAAATCCCAATATACTTTCTTAGACTGTTTATGTAACACCATGATATGATACTCATGAGAGTAACAAAGCATGTGTAAAGAAATAAGCTGACTTGACCCCTGCTCTGAGAACACAATGGGGAATTTATCAGGTTATATATCCTACAGTGTTTACAACAAAAACTTCCCAGAGTAATAAAATTGCACTTTGAATCTGTGAAAATGTTTATTACAGTATATGTTGAAAATGAGGTAAGTTTAGTACACTTCATATGGTCATGGAGTTTCTTTTCACTGACAAGGTTGTCATTTTAGGCCTTGTTTGCAATAGGCCATACCAGTCTAAGTAACTGCTTGAATAGGCAAAGAAAATCACCAAAACAAATATAAAAAATGGGTTTTAAACTTGTTACGTACATTAACTTAAACCTAATTACAATTGTTTAAAAAAATGTCAGCTTGCTTATAAGTTTGATATGGTAAAAATGTTATTTCATTATATGCAAGTGATCGTTGTGCATTGTTTTTCAAATCAAATCTAGGATAAAATTAACATTTTCGAACAACGGAAACTTTATAGGAAAATGTTTGTAAAAGTAGGAAGATATAAACATCAGTAATTAAAATGTACAATAAAGATACGCATTTTAATTGTTTCTTAAAAAACCATATCACAATGAAATCTTTTTGAAATTTCGAATATGTGAATTCATATAAATATCATATATAAAAACAAGAGGGAATCCTCAACAGCTGCAACACTTGAAATTCCTTTAGGCAGGATTAGAGTAAATTAATCTACAAGACCTTTTTTTCTCTTTTATTAACTATATTTTTGTGCACCAGCAATACTCTTATGCAAGATTAGAGTAAATTAATCTATGAGACCTTGGGTGGGGTAAATACATCAATAGAAAGGGTTTGACCTCTTGAGTCCAAAATTGTAATTAGATCTCAAATTGGTCAAGAGATGACAGAGCTAAGAGCTAAACATTAGTACTTGAAAAAAAAAATGAAGAACAACTCAGAGCCATGCTATGAGCCGCTATTAAGACATTTTATTTATCGAATCTACATGATCTGTAATAAAGTAATTATAAAGCTTCAAACTATAAAATCCAGTAGTTTTATTATCAGAATGCTGTAAAATAAACCACACAACAATCAAATTAATGCACGCAGATACCACAGAGTTAAAATAAAGATAGACTGATTGGAATATAAATGATTTAAGAACATGTGAAAAAGCAGTTCTTTTCTATATAGTTCATAATAATCAATACTAATGTTACATTCTGAGTACAATTATGTGATGGATAAAACAAAAACATAAAATATCTAGGCTAATGATGCATCAAGATACAAACTATGTAACTATACATTTAACATAATGTTCAGCTTCATACAGACAAATGATGGCAGACTATACAATTTTTATTTCAGTATCATGAAACTTCCATATACACAACGTGGTCACAAGTAAATAGACACCACCTTTTCAGAAAAAATGAAAATTTTCAGTCAT